AACTTCATCCCCGCACCCAACTAGGATCAGGAAATAAAGCTCGTTCTCAATGTGGAGTTCGACCAACTCAAGAGGGTGTTCAAGCAGACCAAACTCAGGCTTGTCAGAAGAGTGAACCTCAAGTTGATAGCCGAACGAGAAGGCGAATGTATCAATCTCATTCAACCAACCAACCTTGTCATAAACAGATGAATGACGAAATTTGTATAGCTACCCAAGCTCGTCAACCTCTATCATTTAGAGGGTCTCGCTCGGGTAAAACTAAATTGTCAGAATCGACTGGGGTAGTTCCACCATGGATCTCCGTGACCCAATGACCACAATGTTGATATGAATGTTTTCTTTACCCATAGTGATAGCTTTGAGTAATTGTCGACGCTCTGTAGAGGAAAGATCGCAGCAGAATTGATATGAACCAAAATCAACTGGGGGTAGTTCCTCTCTTTTTTTTTTTTCCTCATATTAGGGTTCTGGGGAGGGAGAGAGATGATACGAACCAGAATTGATTTCATGACCAAAGTTTAGCTTGTAAAAACTAAATGACTTCTAACTCAGTGTTTTGCTAAAATTTGACCTACAACTGAGTGGTCACTCGTGATCGTAGGAACCTCTACAACTCCATAATCATATATAACTTCTCGATAACTCCGTGGATCCCATGAATGATATTCTTTATATCAATTACGTGAAAAAGAAAATTTTAATTATTGAACTATTGAAAACTACTAGTCAACATAATCAATTATAAGAATTCTCTGCAATCAAGAATGCAGATAATATGAATCCGTAGTTGATCATCTTCTCTGAATATTTTGATTGACTTGTGTTGGAACTTGTTGAATTATTGGTACTTTTGAGGATTTAGTTTTGAGAAAATAATCTTAGCATTTAAGATCACTATTGGTAATTTCCGTATATTATTGCGAGATGGGCCGGCGATATGAAGATCGGTCATACGAGAGCCTCTTCTGATTATAATTTTTATTTCTTTTCGAATTAAAAGGGATTATTTGTTGCTATCTTGTCAAGCATATATGCTTCAAGTCTCATTAATTTTATGTATGTTTATAATCTCACCTTTTTTATAATAAAAATGTCCTTCTTCTTGAGCAAGAACCTATTTTAGGGTTGTCCAAATGACCTGCCAACAGGGCCCGGCCCGGGCGCAACGATCACCTAAGGGTCACCTAAGGTGACCGTTGCAGGCAAAAGCCGGGTCGGGTCAGGCTAGCTCGGCCCAGCTCGGCACAAATGTGATCGTTGTGGCTGGGTCAGGCCGGTCCAACCCGGCATAAACGGTCACAAATGTGACCGTTTATGCCAAAACGGTCACATTTGTGACCGTTTATGCCAGCCATAACAGCTCAAATTGGCTTGTTTATTTGACTGTTTTGACCCTTAAAACGGGGGGGGTGGGGATTATTTATTTTCCTCACACCAAAACTCAGTCACTTCTCTCTTATACTCTCTTATACACTAGTATACTCTCTTATACTCTCTAATAATATCTTATACTCTCTAATTCTTCAATCAAATGGCGTCCGGATCTGATTATGAAGGGCAAAACCTATCTCCCGATTTTAAAATGAGTCCTCCTACCGGGTCTACTCCTACCGATCCTACCGATATTGGATCCGGTGGCGACGATTCTACACCAAGAGCTCTTAAAAGACTAAGATCCGATGTGTGGAATTTTTATGAGAAGATAGACGTTACCAAGGATGAACATTGTAGTATCCTCACCTAGAAGGCTAAATGTGCATTGTGCAGCAAGATTTTCCAAGCTCATCATAAGAGCGACACCAACCACCTCAAACAACGTTTAGATAAACACAACAGAGGCCAGACGCAATTGAAGGATATTGGCATTCGAAGTTTGTTACAATCCTTGTATGGTAATCAGATTATAGACTTAGATGATGGATCCATCATTACTGCTACTTCTCATCATAATACTATTAGAAATTATTTTCAAATCTTATATGATGAGTATGGAGCTAAACATGGTGTAGCTACACAGCAGTCTACAGGTTCGACTTCTTCGAGCTCAAGTCGAGGTAAAAGTGTAAGTTTTGATAGGTATGCAATGGTAGCTGAACTAACTGGTGGATTTGGACTTGGATGATCATTGGAGGTTTCTGAAATAGATGAATATTTATCTGCTTCTTTAGTTAAATGTCAAAATAATAATTTAGATATTTTGTAATGGTGGAGAGTATATGGATCAGTTTCATATCATATACTTTCCACCATGGTTCGTGATTTACTAACAGTGCAGGTTTTGATGGTTGCTTCGGAATCCGCCTTCAGCACAGCAGGACGTTTGATCGACGATCACATGACATCGTTAGATTCATATACTGTATAGGCGGTGATGTGCTTACAAGATTGGTGGAGGTATGAGAAGAGAATGCAAGGGATTGATCGGTTGATTGGAATTGAAGATAAATTTGAAGAATTGTGACTAGCAAATAGATATAAAGATTAAATAATATTCATCAAATTATAATTTTTATTTTTTAGTTAAATTTTGTAATGAATTATTTTAAAAATAATTACAAATGATAATAATATAGGTAAGTAGGTGCCAACCTAGTTGGGATGTACTCATATATTGTGATGCGACGAATTCTAAAATAAATTTATACTTATAAATGATTTACTGATTATTAATAAAGAAGTTATTTTTATCATCTGTCTTTTTTATAATTTTTTGTATTTGTAATTTCTGTAATTTCAAGTGATTAATAATATTATTGTTTTTTATTAAAATTTTGTGTAATTTTTTTATGTAAAATTAGAGTTTTAAACATATTTAAAAGAACGGGCCGACCCGGGCCTGGACCCGGTCCGGGGCAATTGGGCCTTGGTCCGGGCTCCAGTTTTATCCAGGTCAGACCCGGTTTTCCAAACCGGACCGGTTCGAATGGACACCCCTACCTGTTTTATACATCCAAAATAATTTATGATACTTGGACAAGAGGGCGAAGGGTCTTTTCCGCAACGCAGAGAGATAACGGTGTGATACAGCTCATCATCGTCGTCCTTAGCCACGCAGCCTTGCCATGCAAGGAATCGACGTAGAATGACGATACTACCCTTCAAGGTTGTCCAGAAAAAAAATTGATCTGTGACGGATGCTGAAGGTAAGCAAGCATGTAAACATCATGGGCTCCACTAATTAATTTAGAATTACGTGTTAATTAGCCGCACGAGTTTAACAGTTTAAATACAATTATCGGAGGGGGGTTGGATTGAGACGATAGTTGTGGACCAAGATTCGTTGATTCCAACAATTGTCTTGTGAAGCCAAATAAAAAGTTGGTATTTTATCAGAAATTAGGGGCCTATGTTAAATTAAAGTTTTAATATTCAAATGGGTAACGAGTTCAATTATATTTGTACGAATAAAACTATGGTACTCTCTCCTAAACTACTCCCAGTCTGCTATATATAAGAAAAAAAATTGAAAAGGAGTTCATACTTTTCTCTTCTATATATATAATGTGTGAGTAGTTTTAACAGTAATAGTTTTGTTATCACTATTCTACTTGCCTTGGTGTGAAAGCGTGACATTTAACGAAAGTCCATGTATAGCATATTTAGCTCCACAATGAAGATCATCTACACCATATTTTGAAAAATCATGATTATTGACATTAACTAAATTTCTTTTTAATTAAGACTACTTATTCATAGAATTTCCAAACATGACGTGATACATGATCTTGAGTATTTTTGAGCTGTATATATGGCTAGCCCATGTTAATGTTAGCATAGAATTGTAACTTAAAACATAGAACTGTAACCTTTCATCAAAACTTTTCGCGCTTTAGTGAAAGAGATTATTGTCTGATTTGTAGCTCACGCACTCCAAAGATCCGTAAAATCACTAATGTAATCATGTACTTCTCCTTTTTTTTGCATCCATTCATCAACTTTATATTAAACCCAAAATCATCCCCAAAAGACCAATTCAGCAAGGGCAAAAATGTACCTCCCCTATTGAAAACACATCAAGTCAATGAACAAAACATTTCATTACAAATTCTACAAGAGACAAAAAAATTACAAATTAAAGTTATGAGAACGAACTAATATCATCATAGGATCTTCCAATATTCACTAATTAATTAAACTTTAGTCATTCTTCTAATACCTTTTGACATTGAACCTCACTTTCGCTCGGATCGCATCTTGAGTTTTAATATTATTTGTTAGGAAATAACCATACTTAACTAAAAGTTTATAAACCTTAAACAAGATTTTTTTTCCGAATCAAATTAACTAAATAATTAAGCTATTAGGAATTAACTTCATCTCAAAGCATCCTCAAATTAACTAAACAAGATTTTATTTTTTCTCTTAACTTTTTTTTAATGTACATGAAATTCTTTAACGCCTCAAAGCATCCTCAAAGACCAATTCAACCAAGACGACATGTGCACTTTCGTTGGTAAAAATACATCAAGCGAGGGTACGGTATTTCATCACAAATCTTGAAAGAGAAAAAAAAAGATGATTAATCTCCATCATATGTATATTAATCAGATCTTAATCATTCTCTTAACATTTTAGCTTCACGTTGAACTTCAGTTTAACTTGAACTTCTATATTATTCGTCCGTGAATAATCAATCCCAGTCACCAGTTAATAAGCTTTAAATAGAAGTTAAAAATTAAATTGCCCAAAACAATCAAACTTTCTATTTAGATTCATCATTTGTCATAGACTTTTTAGTATTAAACTACGCTAACACATGAATAAAATTCTCCAAAACCTCAGATCATCTCCCATAGACCAATTCAAACAAGGGCACCAGTGTACTTTCCCTAGTAAAAAAAACATGAAGTCAATATATGTAATCATATTTCATCACAAATATTACAAGAGAAAAACATGAAGTCAATATATGTAATCATATTTCATCACAAATATTACAAGAGACAAAACAGCACAAAACTAAAGTAGTCATGGCCACAACCTCCTTCACATCTCTCTCCCCTCTCCCTAAAAGATCTAAGCCGCCTCCAATCCCAGTCAAACCCACGAGCTCTGACTATTCCTCAGTCCAACAAACCCTCTTCTCATTTCTCAGAACTTTCACCCTCCGTTCAAACTAAATAAAACCCAATAGCCCCCCCTCTGTTTTCTTGACCAAGCCCCTTCAAATTTTTTTCTCCTCCTCTTTCTTCTCTAATGGCTTCTTCAACAGGGAGTTTAGAGACCTCAGCAAATTCAAGGCCCAGCTCTTTCTCTTTCTCCTCTTCGTTTCCTACTTCATTCTCTGAGCTTCTCAATGGAGGAGGAGACGATGATCATAGCTGTAACAGGGGGATTGGGGTTCCAAAGTTTAAGTCAATAACTCCTCCATCTTTGCCGATATCGCCGATATCGCCTTCTTCATATTTTGCCATCCCTGCCGGGCTTAGCCCAGCTGAGCTCCTGGACTCCCCTGTGCTCCTCTCTTCTTACAATGTAAGCAAATGATGGGTTTCGGTTGATTTATGATGAGTCTAGTGAATTAACCAATTATTTGATTGGTTTAATTACTTGAATTTAGCAAGCGTGATCATTTTTATGAGTTCTTTGTTTGATTAGGCTTTTTTTTTTTGGCTATTTGGGTTTTTGGTGAAAGGTCTCTGTTTGGCTAGTTGATGGAAGTAACTCAAATGTTGAGCCTTTTTATTGGATGATTAACTCAAAAAATTAACTTAGTTTTCTTCTTTTTCTCTCTCTCTCTGTTAGAGATGTTTCTATGGGTATAATTGAATTTAAAGAAGCATATTGAATCAAGATCTCACTGAAATACCCATGTTTCCCTTGTATGTATTGGAGATGTTTGTAGGGGCAATTGAGTTATTGATTTTTGAGGTTATTTCTCAGTAATAGTTGAACTTAAGAACCATATCCAATCAACAAACCATTGAATTGTCCATGTTTTTTTTTAATCCCTCAATGATTAATTAATTATCTTATGTTTGGTGTCTGAACCGTTTGAACAAGAATTGGATAAACATGAATCCCTTAGATTTACTCAAATTGTTTCTCTATGTCAACACCTCTGATTAATGATTTTCACAGAAACTTACCAAATTTTCTTAATGGAATAGTTCAAGCATATCCAATCATGAATTCATTGAGCTCCCAAGTTATTCAATGCAAAATCATTCCATATTATGAATTAATCCTCTGCTCCTTGTACAGATTTACTCACTTAGTCTATTATCTTAAGCAGATCTTGCCATCTCCAACAACAGGAACAATCCCTGCACGATCCTACAATTCAAAGCAAAATCCTACAAATTATCATCAAGATATCAAAGAGGAACAAAGGGCTTATTCTGATTTCTCTTTCCACACCAACACCAAGCCTCAAAGCTTCATGCCCTCTTCAGTAATTATCTCAACCCAACATCAAGACATCCATTTATTTATGCTCTTTCACTTGCTCAATTGCTAACGCTCATATCAATTTCACAGCAAGAAGCCTTCAAAGATAACAATCACCAGCATCAACCATGGAGCTATAAAGAAAATGAGCAAATGGGTATACTTAGAACAAGCTCAACTGAGTTACAAACATCTCAAGCTCCTACTCAAACTCTAAGAGAACAAAGGAAGTCAGATGATGGATATAACTGGAGGAAGTATGGACAAAAGCAAGTAAAAGGAAGTGAGAATCCTAGGAGTTACTACAAGTGCACTTTCCCAAATTGTCCAACAAAGAAAAAAGTGGAAAGATCTTTGGATGGGCAAATAACTGAAATTGTGTACAAGGGGTCTCACAATCACCCAAAGCCTCAGTCAACTAGGAGGAACTCAAGTGGGTCTCAATTAGTGCAGGCTCAGGCTCAGGCTCAGGCTCAGGCTCAGGCTCAGTCAGAAGTATCGGACCACTCGTTTGGCGCACGATCGGGTACACCAATTGAGTCCGTCGCTACTCCGGATAATTCGTCAGTTTCGTTTGGTGACGATTGTGGAGAAGAAGTTGATGATGATGAGACCGATGCTAAGAGATTGTAAGTCAGTTGCTGCAACTGTTTGGCTCACATTTGTTTGATGTCGTGATAATTTGAATTGTAACTAAATTTTTCGATGTTTTGGTTATTTTACAGTAAGAAAGAAGGGGAGAATGAGGGGATATCCGTGACAGGAAATCGAACAGTGAGAGAGCCTAGGGTTGTCGTGCAGACGACTAGTGATATCGATATTCTTGATGATGGATACCGTTGGAGAAAATATGGGCAAAAAGTGGTGAAGGGAAATCCAAATCCAAGGTGAGCAAACAACACAAATCGACCTGCATTGAATTCAAATCTTAGCGACAAATTCAATGTGCATATTACACTTATATATCATATAGTGCATATTTATTCACCAATAAATATATTTTTGAATTTCAGGAGCTATTACAAATGTACAACCATGGGTTGTCCAGTGCGAAAACACGTAGAAAGGGCGTCACACGATCTGAGGGCGGTGATCACAACCTACGAAGGAAAACACAATCACGACGTTCCAGCTGCCCGTGGAAGCGGTTCC